GGTCCTTGGAAAAGACAAAATCTGAATTAAAACCTAACTATCCCCTTAGAGAAAATATGTTGTTTCATGTACATCTAAAAAAAGACAATAGGAAAAAGTGTAAATTAACCTTTAAGGAATAAGAGGGGTATTACCCTCTGAACAGAACAGAAACAATAGGTTAATTAGATGCATTACTCATACCATGCTATCTAAACTTTGTCATATTATTATAGCTTATAATCACAGACACAAATGTACTTTTTTCATGTCATAAAGTAAGCAGTGTGATGCAGTTCTAATAATAATACTTAAGAATGAATACAGCTATGCTCTATGCTTTCAGTTTTATTTACACATTATTTTTATAGTGTTGATAGGCCTTTACATTATGGCAATGGAAAATAACCTAGCCATTCTAGTACTTAGGTCAGTTTGATTCCTTTACAAATTTCTTCTTATTGTTTGAAATTCACTACAGTCCAAATACTGTCTTGTTTATAGTTACATTGAAAATATGTGACGTAGAGCCTTATTCGATCTAAAAAATAGAAACAGATTAAATTAAATAGGTGAAATGATTAGAGATCTGCATCTTTTTTGTGATCAAATGAGGACAGTCATCAGGAAAATGTATTTTTCTGTTTATTTAAGCCATCTGATTGATCACTAATTCAACCATTGATGTGTGAAAATACACCAACACACACATGTATTTTCTTGCAGTTTTTGAAGTTGAATAAAATGTAGAAAAACACAAGAGAAACAGATGCTCTTATTTCAAAAATGAGCATAGAATTCTACATATGCTATCAATTTAAAAAACATTGTGCTTATTAGAGGACCTGTAGCATATATTTGTGTTTGGAAGGCTAATAAAAGTGGTGTTCTCTTTAAGGAATTACATAATATAACAAAATTTGGTTACAAAAAATCAGTTAGAAAAATAATGGCAAGCAGAATGCATACAAAAGATAATAACTTTGAAGCGATCCTTTATCCTAAGCAAGCACGGGGCAACGTTGAATTTGAAATACAGCAAAAAGGAATATTATGTCAAAGCTTTGAGGTAATTACTTAAAATAAAGTTAAAATGCAGTTACATCTTTTTACAAGAGAGGGAAACTGAAGGAAAGTCACGCAAACTGTACTAATGAGCTACAGTATTTTGCTGCATACTGTGATATTGGGTTTTGTTTATTTTTGTCATTTATGCCTGCAACCAAATATTATTCTCTTAACACAGTTATAAATAACCATGTATCAAAAAGCAGGGCATTTTTTAAACCCACTAGCTGTTTATTTGTATATCATAATAAAAATAATATCAATGTGTCCAGCTTAGCATTTCTGTCCACTGAGTTTAATTAAACCATGCATCCTTGTAACTGAGACTCTTATTTCCATTTTGTATTGCTGTATTTCTATCTAGATGATATTATTAATTCTCAGTTTGTTACCCATCTAAAAACAGGTAAATACATGAATTACTGTAGCAAGTCAGAAAAGAAGCAATGCACATTATGAATTTGGCCTCCTATCTTATCCTTAAAAAACCACACAGCTGACTTAGTAGGAGGTTTTTCATTCCTAATGCAAGTTTCTAGTGCAGTAGTGCAGAAGTAGTGCAGAAGTAGAGTTCAGTTCTCATTGTTATTAAGAATCCATAATAATTAACCTTGATTGTAGAAGTATCTGCCTTTTAACTTTTTTTTAGAAATATCCCATGTTAAGAAAAAAAGTCATAAAAAGATAAGGTATGGATCAGTTTAGCTATCTTTTATGTTAATCTAATTATGGATAACTGGCATTTCATTCAAATTAAATGAAACCTTTTAAAGAGGGCAAGACATCATGAGTGATGAATAAGAAATCCCTAAATTAATGTTTACCTGAGGTAGGTCTACTGTTATCACATGGTCATCCAGGAGAAGCGATTCCTAGATAATCAATTATTCGATGCCTTCAGCTGGTTCTTCTTAGACAGAATATTTTTAACTATCATCCACTTGAATGTCTCTGTAAAATCGCTTAATATGGCATGTGTTTTGAATTGAAAATTAAATGAATTGAGTTGATTACAAACATTATATGACAAAGACAAATAAACAGAAAAAACAAAAACACGTTGCTTTTAATGAGCCATGAAAGTACTGATAGAAAGTAGATAGCAATTAAACTCAAATTAATTCAAACCTGATCTTAGCGAAACAAAGCTGAACAAGCACTCAATTTTATCTCGCAGCATATACACTATATTGCCAAAAGTATTTGCTCACCTGCCTTGACTCACATATGAGCTTAAGTGACATCCCGTTCCTAATCCATAGGGTTCAATATGACGTCGGTCCACCCTTTGCAGCTAGAACAGCTTCAACTCTTCTGGGAAGGCTGTCCACAAGGTTTAGGAGTGTGTTTATGGGAATTTTTGACCATTCTTCCAGAAGCGCATTTGTGAGGTCGCACACTGATGTTGGACGAGAAGGCCTGGCTCTCAGTCTCCGCTCTAATTCATCCCAAAGGTGTTCTATCGGGTTGAGGTCAGGACTCTGTGCAGGCCAGTCAAGTTCATCCACACCAGACTCTGTCATCCATGTCTTTATGGACCTTGCTTTGTGCACTGGTGCACAGTCATGTTGGAAGAGGAAGGGGCCAGCTCCAAACTGTTCCCACAAAGTTGGGAGCATGGAATTGTCCAAAATGTCTTGGTATGCTGAAGCATTCAGAGTTCCTTTCACTGGAACTAAGGGGCCAAGCCCAGCTCCTGAAAAACAACCTCACACCATAATCCCCCCTCCACCAAACTTTACACTTGGCACAATGCAGTCAGACAAGTACCGTTCTCCTGGCAACCGCCAAACCCAGACCCGTCCATCAGATTGCCAGATGGAGAAGCGCGATTCGTCACTCCAGAGAACGCGTCTCCACTGCTCTAGAGTCCAGTGGCGGCGTGCTTTACACCACCGCATCCGACGCTTTGCATTGCACTTGGTGATGTATGGCTTGGATGCAGCTGCTCGACCATGGAAACCCATTCCATGAAGCTCTCTGCGCACTGTTCTTGAGCTAATCTGAAGGCCACATGAAGTTTGGAGGTCTGTAGTGATTGACTCTGCAGAAAGTTGGCGACCTCTTCGCACTATGCGCGTCAGCATCCGCTGACCCCGCTCCGTCAGTTTACGTGGCCTACCACTTCGTGGCTGAGTTGCTGTCGTTCCCAAACACTTCCATTTTCTTATAATACAGCTGACAGTTGACTGTGGAATATTTAGGAGCGAGGAAATTTCACGACTGGATTTGTTGCACAGGTGGCATCCTATCACAGTTCCACGCTGGAATTCACTGAGCTCCTGAGAGCGACCCATTCTTTCACAAATGTTTGTAAAAACAGTCTGCATGCCTAGGTGCTTGAATTTATACACCTGTGGCCATGGAAGTGATTGGAACACCTGATTCCAATAATTTGGATGGGTGAGCAAATACTTTTGGCAATATAGTGTATGTATATGTATGCATATGTGTGTGTGTTTTTTTTGCATACAATGTGGAGCCCTTTCTGATTAACTTGCGTTTGTGGGGACCAACAGCTCCTTGAGGGGCCTGATGCCTGGAATTGGGAAGTTGCTGTTTTTGGGTAAGGGTCTACGTTTAGGACAAAAGTGTGGACTTTTACATTGGGGTTAGGATAAGAGTCCCGGTTAGGTTGCAGACATCAATGCAAGTAAATGGAAAGGCCCCGAAAAGATAGTGAAACAAGTTTGTATGTGTGTCTAAAGTTATCACTATTATTTGAGAGGTATGCTTGAAATTAAGTTTTCTTTTCATGAATTCCAATTATAAATGTGAGGAGTTTGCTAAACTCTATTAGGATATTAACTGGTACCAAACTCTTTGATAAGGTGATACTCTGACTAAGCTCCCCCAGCAGTAGGCACTCCTGGTTGGCCCACTTTAAAGCAAACAATAAAAATGTGAAAGAGAATTTCAATCACACCTTGTATATTGGAGGATTCATAATCTTGTAGTTGTTATTCTATTTTAGAAGTCCTTAAAACCTTTTCAGAATAAATGACATCATGGTCTTCAAGAGATGATGAGAGATTTTGAATAAAATAAGATCCTGCCTTGAATTTGGTAGAAATTGTGGCTTTTAATAGAATAATGACCCTAAATGTATTGTGAAAGTCACAAAGAACTGCCTTAGATGGAAAAATAATGTTTTTCTATACCCATTTCAGTTCTCAGACATAAAACTTAGAGGAAACCTAAGGCAAAGGGCTGGAGACAAGTGGGCATAAAAACAGAGGTTAATAACTCCCATTGAATTTCTGATAGTTTGTTCACTTTCCCAAAGGAAATTCTTCTGCACAAACATGATAGTTTATTTAAACACTTTTTACACAGTTTATTCTCCTTTGATTTGTCTTTTTTAACTCACTCACCCAGATTTCAGCACCTTGGACAGCGCTATTTAGTCTTCGGCTGCTTTTTATTCAGTTGTGTGACGTTTGGTGCTTAATTTCCAAGCTAAAACCAAACAGGATTACTATGGTTTCATGTCAAATGCTACCTTGCCTTGAAGAATAGATCAAAACCTCAAAATCGAAGCAATAAAGAATTGTAAATACATTGTTCAAACATACAGTCTGGTATGAACGGAAACTGTGCATGGTGTAAAGTTACATAGGATAACTTCTTGTGTAAATAAATAAAATAAAAACTAAAATTACGCACAGTATGGCTTTATGTCCAGGGTATAACTCTCACAGAGAGTTGGCACAAGGAGTGGGGAAAAAAGAAAAGCTGTATCAGGGGCGCAGAGTTAAATGCTGCCCTATACCGAATCACTGCTGCTTTCAAATATCACAATGTTATGGAGTTGTTACCATATTCCTTGAGAAATTGTATTTTTTTTTTGTGTGTTTATCTGAGTGTTGTCTGTAACCCCCTCTTGTTTTGCTGGTGATTAACCCCTCGGACTCATCCCCTGATCTCGGTCTCACCAGAAGAGGGCATTCCGCTTCTGCCTGACAAAGTTGCTTTGACATGCAGACGTGATTAACGGCGGCGTCATGCTGCATTTCAAACCCAGCAGCAGCGAGAGCGAGATGATCGGCTAAGCAAAAAGAGAAAACAGAAAAGAAAACCAAGGGCGATGTTTGGAAGACTTTCTCAAGAGACTCGTTGACAACGCTTCACACTCACTTGGGAATGAAACAGCTACTTACTTTCTTTCGATGTGCCGCGCAGAACGCAGACGGACACAGTCTTTTACCAGCAAATTTTCATGGGAAATAACGGCCTGCATTTTGACATCACGCCGAGTTAAGTTCAAGGAAGGATTTTCGCGGGATCTCTGTGCACATTTAAGACTGCCATGACTTCTTGGATGTGTCATATTTAACGTCTGCGCCAGCTGCAGTGCTCTTTTCGGCTGTTACTTAAAAAAGGGAAGAAGAGGCTGATTCTTCGCTTTGCTTCTGAGACATGGATAGAGAGTTCTCAGCTGGATTTTGCATGCCTTTAATTTTGGAGTAAGTAAATGACATTCGCTCCGGTTCGTTCGGACGGGTGCAGGCGCACAACTAAACCGGGTAAGGCATCGCAGGTCCAGGAGAGTGAAAAAAGGCAGGTGCGCTTTGGAGTCGGCGGCTGCGCGGAGAAAGCGGAGAGCGGAGCGGTGGATTTGGACGGTACCTGTGTGGGCTGTGGAGAGCGCATCATGCGGACTCGGATGTTGCGCACATCGAGCCATTAAAACCTGTACGCTGGAGCGAAAACAGAAAAGCGGATATGGGTAAGTTTGTGTCTTTAATCTGTTTGCTGAGGGTTGATTGTTGCCTCAATTGCAGATAATCTGAATCAGATTGTGTCTTTTTTTCCCCTTGTAGAAGCTATTAAAAACAGATTGCGTAAAAACTGTCACTATAAGCTGCATCATCATGTATTTATATTTTTTATTTGTATTTTATTGAAGCATCTGGAATGTGGCTGCAGTTAGTCGCAGAGCTGCAATGTGATTTTTTTTCTTTCTGATCCAAATTCTCCCAATCCTTCGCTGTATCATACTACTCGTTTTAGATTAAAGCAATGCTGCAACCAAGAATCTAGCCTATCCATTAAAATATAGTCAATGCTTACCTGCCTGTTTGTTTAAATGAAAGAACACCCCCTTGTTTCTTTCTTTTTAGTTGAAGTGTATGGGTGCACTGATTGATATGGATCGGAATGCAAATGCGCGGCGCATTTTGGAAGCCAGTCAACTTTATAAAGCGTGCCTCTGCATAATCATTTATTGTCCTGTTTGCAAGCGCTTTGCACGGATCCTGCTGTCCTGTCTCACACCAAAGCTGTTTTGATGTGAGAGCGCCGGTCGTGCAGGACTTGCTTTATCAAATTGATTTTACATTCAACAAACCCCGTCGTGTTCTGCACCTGCTATCAGCAGACTCCTGAAATCCGAGCATAAACCGAGCGCATGTGTCTTCTGTGACAATGAAATGGGCTATTATTTGACTGTATCTACTCTGACTAATCTCATTCTCAATTCTAATCAGTATTTACCAGTTATCCACAGGCGTGCGCGCAATTACTTTCCCACAGGCCATCCCGTGTTGGCCTCGTGATACCCAGTCTTAAAGGCTCTAACAATGATAATAATAGGGAAAAAAAGACTCAGTTTGTTCAGCACCCTTTTTTTTTTTTTTTTACTTTCCTCCACAGGATTTGGTTTCATTTGCTCCAGTCCTAACCAGGTTCTCGGGTTTAATAAAGGTGCTGTGCCATTAATTGTAAAACAGCATGATATATTGATCCAGAATAGGTTACTGCACCACATCGATATGAACTGTACATACCAGCAGACTACAGGCCACAGGGGCTGCAATACCAGCACACAGGTCCAGATTTAAGATGACATGGGCCATTGCATTGGAGCTTGTTATGGTGCCTTACTTTTTTTATACATGCATCCATCCTCTGCCCTCATATTAATCAGGAGAGTCTTGAAGGGCCGGTGCCTGTTTACAGCAGTCAGTATGTAAGAAGTAGGGAATACCTTGACTTGGTCTGAAACTCCATCAATGGACAACAGAGGGAAAAAAAAGACGTTTCATAAACACATACAGATCTTTTTATGTTTTAAATGATCAAATGTGTATCCATACATTTCCATTCTATTTCTAGTTCAATCCTATTTCATACATGTTGTATGAAATAGGATTTCGTTAAGCCCTGGTAAATCAGTAAATTTTTTGTTGTGGGTGGGAATTATTTTTACTATTACAGAAATAAAGTGCAATAAAAACCCTCAAGCTTTAAATGTATTTTGATTAAGTTTTTTTTTTTTTTTTTTTTTTTTTTTTTTTACTAAAGCATAATGCCACATATTGCACATAAACACATGGTTTTGTAGTCAAATTACTCCCAATCATGCAAAATACTCTTTACCTAAGACTAAATATATGATTTTTACAAGTGGAGTCTCAGATATCTTTTAATTTACCATCTGTTTGGAAGTAAAGACAGCTGTATACAAGTCAAGACACTATAAAGTAGGGCCACCGCTCCCTCAACTCCCCACACCAAAATAACGTATGTGGGATCCACATTACTGATATTTTTGACAATGCTTCACACATGTCAAGGTCCCCCTTGCATGAAAGAAACTACCACAACTACTTTAGTGAGGAATGGCAAAAGAGCAAAATGAGCATGGCAGTTCGGAGTAACCTAACACATACCTTTGGATGACATAAGAAAACAGTGCACAAGGGAACCTGCAGACTACATGCAACAAGGCCTCACTGTAAGTCAGTAAATATAAAATGGTTTCAGTTACCTAAAACTTTCTTTGTAAAGTGCAATATGTTAGTAGTTTTCTATGCAAAAACAACAATATTTTAAGGGTAATTGTATATAAATATAGTGTATCGCCTAATAACACTGTATATGCTAAATATATTAATTTGCAAAAAAACAAAACAAAAATCAAATGAAATTTGTAACTAAATCAAGTCTTTATGAGAAGAGGCAATATAATGTGAAAAACACCATAAAAAGTATAAAGTCATAAAACTTTAAGTTATTTTGTTTGGTCTTCTTGTTGTCAAGCATATGGTAGGGCTATGACATGATATTTTTCTATATTGTTTAATAACATGAACAGAAAAAAAGAAAATATTTAATAACATATTTAATTGATAGCATCACATAGCTATTGCATATTTCAAGTTGAGAATTGATGCCAATCTCTCATTCTCCTATATCCCATCCTATGTTCAACACACAGGGTTTGGAGATGATAGAGCTTTGTGACATTGTGCGTTTTAGCAAGCGAAGAGATCATCAGAGTTTGTGTACAATTTGGTCAGCAACCAATACTAAAGTTATCTAAGGGGATCACAGTTAATTATGTTCAGTGGCTACTTAGAGGCTTGAGTGCCAAGAAAAAAAAAAAACATTAAAAAAACACAACAATGACATCAGCTGCTGAAACCATGACTGGTGCAAGGCAGGGTGGATCCATGTTTATTTTTGTTGTGTAGTCCAAATTCCAATCGCATAACTTGTATGCTGTAGATGACGACTCATTGAGTTAAGTTTTTACAATTTGTTATTTTTCTGTTTTGATGAGCCTCCATGGATTTTAGCCTCGGCTTTCTTTTCTTAGCTGAAACAAGTGACTCCTACTGGGATGTCTGGCTGCTGTAACCGATCTGATTAGTTTTAAGAAATTGTTCATTCAAAGATGTGTTCTGTATATATATATTTTAGTAATTAGTGATACATTTCTTGCCTTTTTATTCTCTCTAACCAACAGTATTTGAAATGTTCCTTAAAAAGGTAACTAGTAATAGTTACTAGTTATTTCTTCTAAAGTCTAACTGGCTAAGTAACTTTGAAAAGCTTTCCTGTTATCAAAGCTGAAAGTTTAAGTATGAAATACAAAATTATTGATATTTACTAATAAGTTAAATGAAAACTGGAAAAGTGATACATGGGTTCATTTATATGACAACATATCTGAAAACGCTATAAACTAATGTGAGTGAGTTCAGTGTGTTACGTACAGAGCAACATGTCCAGATAAACTAAGGCAGCTATTAGCCTATGTTTCTGGTGGTGATGTGGCGTAAGGACGTTCTTTAGACTAGAGCCACTTCTAATTGACATAGATTACGCTTTTGCTCATAAACATAATGAGCAAGTAACAAAAACGTTTAACTTCAAACACTGTCTTATTTAAGGAACTCTATTTTTAATGCTGCTGCTCCTCCAAGTCTCTCCCCGCTGCAGAGGGAGTGTTCCTCTCAAAAGTTGTTTTGATAGATTGATTAGTTGTAACAGGCACCGCTGAATTCCAGGTAACATAATGGCATTGCAAATGTAAGAAAAAGAACTAGCTTTATTACTTTTAAATAAAAAAAACTGACACTTTTACTAATACTGTTACTTTGTAACATTGTTCCTCCCAACCCTGCTTAGGATTCTCCCCATTCTCCTATGAGCATTGACTTAGGCAAATCACATCTGACCACACCCCCATCCCATCAATCAGGCCACCTATGAAAATAGTCCACTCATGAGGTGCTTTGATTTTCAACAGGCTATGTTCATCATGTGTACATGTCTAAATATATTGAGTTCCTGCCAGGTGATTGGATGATGAGCTGTTTATCTTGAACTATTGAACAGATAAAGCAGCTGGTGAGTGGATACTGGAATTTTTTGCATAACTCATGTAAAGTGAGAGTAACTGAGGTTCCCAAACATTAACATTTTTTTCTGAATACCCAAGCTGTCAATGTAACATACTGTTGTGCATTGCCTCACAAGTGTTCGATGATTGCACAGTGTTAGTCTTCATTTTTCCACCAGAATAGCTGATTGTGAGCCTCTTCATTAACAGCATGCAATGCACTTATGTTTCATGGACCATGTCATTAGAGATGTGCCTCACAGGAGGAGAATGTTGAAGTGGAGAGATTGAAGAGAGCTCAGAGATGAATTTAGAACCAAATGACATTTTACACAACCTCACAGCATCATACAGAATATGTTTGCTGTTAAAGAACCAATTGACACCTGCCTGCTCTGCACTGGACATGCAGACATTGGCTTGTTTATATGTAGAGAGTACCGCTGGTGAAGCAGGTGCACAGAGGTTATCAGATCTTCCCTAGAGGGCAATATCTCTCTCCCTCTGCTTTTACATTTGAAAAAATAAATAAATAAATAACTGCATATGAGAAACCTGTTAAAATAATGTGTTAAATACTGCAATACTGCAGTATTTGTACTTAAGGTCAGCAAGTTAACTCATCCCTTTGCTAGTTTTGTTAGCAATTTGATTGAAAGAGATTGTGATAAAAATAATGTTGGGTGTTGACTTAAATCATCTTATGCTGTTTTCCCTGGGACATCGGACTGTGATTTTTTTTATTTAAGTTTATTTTAATCTTGTAAGGTTTGTGTACTTTGTGGTATTTTGTTTTATATGCACAACATCACCCTACGAGGAGGTAGTGAGACCTAAACTAAGTATGAAAAACCTATGTTAACTCCCTCTTGGAATTTTTACTTCCTTGTATTTCCCTGTTTTGTCAATGAGAAGAGAGCCTCTGTTGCGAAGCATAATAAATCATTGCCATGTCCCATAAGTGATTAAAAGTGCAGAAGAGGGGTGAAAAACTTGAGAGTCCTTCCCTTTTCTTTAGAAATCCATTACATGCTATTATATTCTGTTGAAAATCTAAAACACCTTGTGTGGTCGGATATGAATGGGATTCCTCTGAA